AATGAAGGACAGAACAAATTGGACAACGCTCCCAGCCAAGCTTTGACAGCAGGTATCTGGGCAAGTGGAGATTCTAAGGTGGACTATGTCAGCCAATGGTTCTTGGAAGGATTTCCTCAACCTTGGAGCAATGAAACCAACAGCATGTCAGAACTATCAAAACCACTTCAGCAGTATCCCAGAATATGCTCCACAATGGGGACCCTGCGATGACATCAAGTGGCCATTCTCCATCCCTGGGTACTGATGCAATGAGGCTGCTGGGAGCAGCCCTATCCCCTTCTCTCCCCCATTCTCCCAGATACAGAAATTTAAAAAAAAATAACTGGAAGCAATTGTCTTATCTACTTTCCCCTATTCCCATTCTTACCAGTGGTTCACATGGCTGTGTATCCTACTCAACTATGTAAACATCATCAAAAAAATTTCCTAAAACACACACACACACACACACACACACACAAAAATAGCGGAGAGAGCCCAGAGTTAGGTCAGGACAAGCCTGCCTGTAAGGACAGCAGGCCAGTGGATTACACAGCAACAAGGACACAGGGTCACCCCGCCCCCTGCTGTGTCCACCATGCACCTCACACAGACCATGCACTCAGTGGATACTTTCAGAATAAAGTGAAGGTTAGCCCTCAGCAACATCACAACCTAGTCAGTTTTGCCTTGATGAACGCAGTGCCTGCTTTATGCCTTCTGGGAGGCACCTCTCACCCCTAGGAGAGCAAGAAACCAGATCAATTTAACATGAATGACAGAGAACCAGTTTCAACCCCCTTAAAAGCAAGACTGTGAACAACTATAAGAGCTGTGTCCCCTACCTGTGCCTGACGCTATGCCAGCCAATTACTCCAAAATGTTCTGGGGGAAAACCAGAAAGTATTCATGACTATCATTTACATCTCCAACACCCACCCAAGATGTGAATTCCCAAAAAGCCTCTAGTACATAAACTAAAAAAAATCAATTCCAACAAAGTTATGACCACAAAGGACTTGCAGCAGAGGGAGTGATTTTTTTTTTTTATTACAAAGTCAGATATACAGAGAGGAGGAGAGACAGAGAAGAAGATCTTCCATCCGATGATTCACTCCCCAAGTGACTGCAACAGCCGGTGCTGTGCCAATCCGAAGCCAGGAGCCAGGAACTTCTTCCAGGTCTCCCATTTGGGTGCAGGGTCCCAAGGCTTTGGGCTGTCCTCAACCACTTTCCCAGGCCACAAGCAGGGAGCTGGATGGGAAGCAGAGTTGCCGGGATTAGAACCGGCACCCATATGGGATCCTTGTGTGTTCAAGGCGAGGACTTTAGCTGCTAGGCCACACCGCCAGGCCCCAGAGGGGGTGATTTTTAACCATTTAGTATCTGTTCTCATGTAGTTTCCTAAGCCATCCCTCCAACCCTACCTTTCTTCATGGTCAGAGTGAGGCCTCCATTGGTCAGGGGTTGGGCAGGTGAGACCCAGGCGTATGCCAGCCAGTGGTGTCCCTGGCTACACTGACTGATTTCAAGATGGCCCGTGGGGACAATGAGGGCTAGGATCAGGACTATAGTGTGACTGTTGGAGGCCATATGTGCTCTGTTCGGTGAGGCTACTAACACTCAGGACACTGTACAACCCAGAGCCCCCATGGCAACCATTTGGCATCAGAAAAGGAAGCCAACATAGGTGGCAGCACAGTCTAATGGCAGAGACAGACTGGCTTTTATGACACTGAGTCAGTCACACTAAAGTTGGCCAGCCACAAGGTGGCCAGTGGGTTAAGTGCCTGGAATGCAGTCCTGCCTCTATCTCCAATCCAGCTTCTTGCAAATGTGGCTGGGAGGCAGCAGGTGATGGCCATAAGTCTGTGAGTTCCTGCCATCCACGTGGAAGAATCACCAAGATGGACTTCCCCGGCTTCTGGCTTCTGCCTGTCCCAGTTCCAGCTATTGTGAGCATTTGGGGAAGCACTCTCTCCCACTTCCCACCTGAAGTTAAAAAGGGGGTGGGGGAGCAGGGGAATCTTTAAATTCCTTCTATGAGCCAACAAAATTGCATCTTTGCTTAGCTAAGTTGAGTTAGATCACACACTTAGCAAGTGTTAAGATCTCTGGTTAACCTAATTACCCAAGCAGTCCTCACTTTGAGAAAAAATTCAATGGACAGCCCCTCTGTATCATTTACCAAACTGTTTATCTTGCTGTACACATCACAGAACGCTCCACAGGAGCTAATCGCGGCAACCAAGGACATCAAAGCTCGTGCCTTCCCAAGCTGTGATAATGTGAACATACTAGAAAGATAAATGGCCTACAAAGGCTACACCGAGGACACACTGGGCTCTGATCAGCTGATCTCAAACACCATGAAGGGAGATTTATGCTTTCACACTAAAGTTATCGCATATGAAACTGCTGATGCAAGAAAAGGTGCACGCGATGCTGGGAGATAACACCACCAATACATCTACAAACCGCGATAGACCGCTGCAACCCTCACCACAGCTCGCATGCCCTGGGTCCTGGCAACTCAGGCTGCAAGTATCTGCAGAGGCAAATACACAGCAGAAAAAGCCCCTCGCACCACAAGCAGAGAAATGCTACAAAAGAGCAAAAACACCAACCAACCAACCAACCAACCAGAGGAAGGTGTTCTCCAGATCCAGACCCAGCTATTAACATTCAATATCTCTCATCCGACACTTATCTCTGACACCTGTTACAGTCTGAGTGACAGTGACAGGCAGAGAGAGCTTTCATTACCAGTGCAATCCTGAAATGCCTGTAACAACAGGGTTGAGGCAGGCCAAAGCCAGGAACCGGAACTTCATCTCCCACCAGGGCTCGGCACTTGGGTCATCTTTTGTTGCTTTGGAAGCTGGATCAGAAGCAGAGCAGTACTCTGACATGGGATGCCAACATCAAAAGCAGAGTTTTAACCTGCTGCACCATAACTATAGCCCCACTTAGTTTATTTACATTTGTTTTTTGTCTCCCCAGCTAGATGTGAATCCTTCGAAGTTCAGGACCTTACCTTCCAGACCTAAACATATCTGACATGGAGCTCGGGAAATGTCTGCTGGGAATAATCACAACGTTGACTCTTCCCCTACAGTGACTTTATCATATAATAAATCATCGCATCCTCCTTGCTTAAAATTTGTCACAACGACCGCTTACTGAGTAGCTCAGTAAATGTGCTTGATACAAACCGTACACACAGGACTTGGCTCAATGGTTTCCCAATCAGGGAATCAAGAACAAACGCCCTGGTTCTTCCTTACTCTTCCCACCACTATGTTTGAATGGACGTAGAACACACATATGAGGTGCCATGCAGACACCTGTGGCTCAGTCTTAGGACGATGCCAAGAAACAGAGTGTGCTGAAGGCAATGGGCTTGTTACCAGAGTGATACCAGCTTCTGGAGGAGACGGCGCAGTTTCACTAAGCAGGCAGCTTACAGAGCTGATACAAGCACTATAGCTGCAATCAGGAATGACTCCTAGGCCCTACTATCGTAACCTGAGCCACTACAGAGCCTACACACCTGTCTCCTTTCCTTATCTGCAAGGGAAAGAGCCTCCAGAGACAGCCCATCCTCTCACAGTCTGAAAATGCTTGCAGTCTTTCCCCTTGAAGAAGTGACAGAGCCGTACAAGGCTCGCACCCACCTGCTCTAATGATACACACACTACAGAGGTAGATGAGAATGGACTTTCGGTGTCCAGGCATCTACAAAAGCCCAGGCTGGCTTAGTAACTTGTGGAGAGAAAGTCTGAGGAGCCAAGTAGATGATCCCTCTATGGATTTGAGCCCTTGTTGCTGTACCCTCCCATTCCATCACCCTGACTTGATGTCATCACTCTGCCACGTGTAAAACGCCTGAAACTGGCAGACGGCTGCACCAAGTCCTGCTGGGGCTTCCTTACAACCATATAAGTCTAGGTCACTTAGCTATGAGATGGCCCTGAGGTAAAATATTACAAAGGGGACCCTCTGAGCTTATCTGCCTTGAACTCTCTGATGACTTGATAATGAAAAACTCTCCCAGTGGACTGTTGACCAGCAAACAGCATAAAAAAAGATGCAACTGTAGAGAAGGCAGAGTAGGATTGGGAACCTGGGAGACATTCAAAATGGTGGAACCTCTGACCATGAAGCAAGGAGAAGAAGGACATGAACATTGAAGATGACGAAATGCCTTCCTAAAGAGTGTGCATTTCATCAAGGGCAAGAAGGAGTCACTGTGAGGCTTGAAGCAGGAGCATGAAGGGCGACAATCAGGTTTTAGGACTCTTGTTCAATCCCCTTGCAGACAACAGACTGAGAGGAAGGGAGAAGGCAAGATGTGGCCAGGAAGAGTGGTGATGAGGACAGCATGACAACTAGACTGCAGCAGCGCGATGGGGCTGGAGGTAAGTGGGCAAATGTAGTACACAGTCCATCAGGCTTCATGTACACAAGCATCAGGACTTGGCACCCAGTATGTGTAGGATGTAAGAGGAGGGAGGAGTTCAGGAGGGCCTGGAGACTTTTGGCCTGGTCAGTTGGACAGCTGCTGGTGCTTCACATGGAGCAGGACACAGTAGTCAGAGTGGAAGGGAGCACGTTGCATTTGAGACACCATGCGACATTTAAGAAGAGATGCCTAGAAGGTACCGCCAGACCCAAACTGCAGATGTAACGGTTCATTAGCATTAACAGCCATGCATTCATTAAAACCCAAAGCAAACCACGAAAAATGGTAACATTACTGGGGTGAGGGGGAGAATATATCATTCAACCCCCCAAGATTAGGGCAGGAATCTTGGAGAAGATTCCTTTGGTATGTGACTGCTACGGTTTATATGTCATAGCTTACAGAAGGTAATCACCTGCCCAACATGAGCACATGAGTGTTGCAGACGAAAAACACAAGCTCATCCCTATGGGGAAAGCAGCTTCCATTAACCCTAACATGACAGGTGGCTCAGAAGCCTGAAAACTCACTGTCGCTTACACCGTCCACTCACCCGTCGACAAGGCCTCCTCCCGGGCATCACTCTCACTGGGCTGATGGATGTTCCACGATGTTTTGGGAAGTAAGGAAATTTCTTCCAGTGATTCCAGTTTCACCATATCCATGTGATTGCTCTGGAATCGGTAGCGAGGGATAAAGCAGGTTTTCCCTTGCCGGAAAATATCCTTGATGATCTCCTCCGTTTCAATTTCATCCGGCATGCTCAGAAAGATGGAGATCCTTTTCGACTGCTGGTACTGACTATGGGCAAGCACCTAGGTGGGAAATGAGAGCAACAGCATTTGCCATGATGACATCTGTAAAAGCCAGCAACTCCTCTAACAGTTCCCCTTCTGAAGTCTCAGCTTTCTCCAATTTCTTGATGCAAACGCAAATGGAAAGCAGTACAACGGGTCAGAGAATGCCATGACCTGAAATCTGACTTTTAATCCCGAACCCATCTCTTATTTTCCCTTTCCAGCACACACACGCATTGGAAAGCTCCAAAAGAGACCAACTGCTCCCCAGGCTTGACTTCCCATCAACCCACGTTAGCATCTGTCCGTCATCTGACACTCTTGCCTCGAGTCCTGCTTTATCATACTTCTGAACCTGGACTCCTACACACTTCTCCACTTCTCCACACTTCCACTGTCAGGTGTCTCGACTCCTAATCCCTACCCATTGAAGCCCCACTCAAGCCCTAACTTCTCTAACTTCTGCAGGACCTTTAAGACATTGAGAGAAACTCTAAACAATTGTGTACTGCCATGAGTTAATGGCTAGTCATTTCATGTGCCCTAAACATAGCATCCCTAATCAGAAAACACTCATTGCAATTCTCTTAGCTCTACCATTTTTGTCCTGAAACACTTTTGTTCAAATGAATACTAAAATGGCCACAACAGTGGAAGGGTAAGGGGATCTTAATGGAAGGATCCTAACTCAGCAGTCATTCCCCAGCAGCAGAAGGGAGCTGAGCTCAGCTTTCCAGAACAGTTAGCCACCTCAAGAACCTCCCAGACGCAAAAGACAGCGTCAGCTCTGCTTCTTTTTCCTTTCTTTGTATGTCCTTGCTTGTTCCCCAAGCTAAGAGGCAAAAGATGCTGAAAAGCTAACTTATGACTGGCACGTAGTTAACAGGTGCAGAGGGTCAAGTCAGTCATCATAAAAAAGGAAACACAGACACGAGGCAGATAGAGTACATGAAGCCAATGCTAAGCAAGGGTGTTAGCTCCAGCCTTCTGAAGAGTTACCAGGCTGTTATCAGCCCTAAAATAGGCAAAGCCAATGAAAACGCCAAATCCAGACCCTGCATAGGCTTGGGGCTTTTGAGAAAGCTAATGTCTTTCTAGAAAATCAAGAGCTGAATAAGAAGCCACAAACACCAGTTTAAAATTCGGTGCTAAACTGTGCATGTACATTTATCTTTCTTCCTCAAATCCCATTTATGTGAGTAAAAAAGTCCAAAAAAGGAAAATCCATTACAACGCTGAGACCAAGAAAAGAGGGATTTGACTAATTCCTGTAAGACAGAGGTGAAGGGAAAGCGGCAGGTCACACTACTCTGAAAGACATCATCTTTCTTCCTCACCAGGAAGAATCCGCTCTTCCTTCAGAGTCTCAAAGCCACCACAAATGGCAGAGGAAATCCCTACTAATTGTCATAACTCCATCTGCAAAACCAAAACACAAAATAGAAGGATTGGCGGGAAAAAAAAAAAACAAATGAGAAAATGTGTTAGAAACTGAGATAATTAGGGGAATACAAAGTCTCTGGTTTTTTTTTTTTTTTTTAAGTTCTAGTTAGTTTCTTCAAACAAACTCGGGAAGATACTTGCATCTATATAACAGCAGACTGCTTTGGGAGAAGCAATCAGAGAGTTCCTTAGTCACCAGGTTAAAATTTTGATTGGCAAAACAGGAAAAACTCAGGGCCTGGCACAGTGGCTCAACTGGCTAATCCACCCTCTTCAAGCACCAGCACCCCATGCAGGTGTTGGTTTGTGTTCTGGCTTCTCCATTTTCCATCCAGCTCCCTGCTTGTGGTCTGGGAAAGCACAGTCCTAAGCCTTGGGATCCTACATCCGTGTGGAAACCCCAAAGAAGCTCCTGGCTCCTGGCTCCGGATGGGCTCAGCTCCAGCCAATACAGGCACTTGGGGAGTGGACCAGCAGATGGAAGATCTTTCTGCCTCCCCTTCTCTCTGTAAATATGCCTTTCCAATGAAAATAATACTTAAAAACAAAACAGAAGAAAAGGAAGAAAGAAAAAAGAAAAAAAACTAGGGGAACACTTCAGAGTACAGGAAAAAGCAAAATGAGAAAAAAATGGTAAGAAACATGGAAGATCAATTTGGGGTTTTTATGAACTAATCAACAAGATTTCAGACAGACATGGAAAAAAGAACAAAGACTTAATAAAGAGATCTTGTTCTCAATAAAACAAGGAAAAGTAGTCTGAAATTTAAACTATCAAATATGAAGCTAAAATACTTTCTAAAGTATTTAAAAGTATATCCAGCCCAATGGATATTTGTTTGAGGATATATTCCAAAAAGGAAAAAAAAAAATCCAAGAAAGAGGAAGACACTGGACTCCAGAAACAGCCCTCAGTCAAAGAAGAAAAGGAAGAAACCCACCTCACTGAGAGGGCAATGGGCCAGAAGGCAACCATACCAGGAGGAAACTTGAAATCGTAGTGCCCTCTGAAAGGAAGTGGAGTCAACAAACAAGAAAAAAAAAAAAAGGCAACCAAAAACTCCAAGGAAAAAAATAGAGGCCTAAACTAGACATGTTATGAATAACAACAAAGTAAAATATGGCATGATTTTGAGCAACTGCAGAATGACAGAAAATCAAAATACCTGGTATGGACATTATGTGGCAACAGTCCTCTACTAGCCACATATATTTAGTGACATCAAATTACATGTCCTTTTCTTGCATGGTCAATCATACAATATGGTTCTACAATGAATACACTATACATCTCATACGGAGGATTGCTCCTAGGACATTGAGAAAATTCCAAAATAAAGGGTTCCAGGCTCTACTCAGAAATGCAAATGACTCATCTGTGAAAACCTGTTGGATCATGGAAAAAAAACACTCCAAGAAGGATAGCTGCTACAAGCACACAGCTTTGACTGAAGGCTGTTTCAGCAGAAACAGGCTGTCCTGCCTACCAGTCTGTAACAATGTTTAGTAAATCTAGCTCTGCTCACTGTGACTGACCTCATGGGTTCTTGCAGCACCAGCAACTACAGCCACAAGGGTCACTCAAGTGATCCATTCAATAAAACTCTGGGACATTCAATAAATTCTGTAAACACTGTGTGCTACAAGTCTGAAAACTCATTATAGTCCCAGTTTAAGACTTAAAGCAACCTGGGCCCAGCAGCATAGCCTAGCAGCTCAAGTCCTCGTCTTGAATGTGCCAGGATCCCATACGGGCACCAGTTCTAATCCCGGCAGCTCCACTTCCCTGCTTGTGGCCTGGGAAAGCAGTCGAGGACAGCCCAAAGCCTTGGGACCCTGCACCTGTGTGGGATACCAGGAAGAAGTTCCTGGATCCTGGCTCCGGACCCGCAGAGCATCGGCCATTGTGCTCACTTGGGGAGTGAATCATCGGACAGAAGATCTTCCTCTCTGTCTCTCCTCCTCTCTGTATATCTGACTTTCCAATAAATAAATAAATCTTTAAAAAAAAAAAAGATTTAAAGCAACCTAATATAATGGCGTGGGTCACAAACTGGCAACTGGAAATAAAAGTGAGGAAATGGGCACGAACGTCCTCAGTTTTAACACTAGCTGAGAAGGAAAACTTGTCATCTCCACCAGAACTTTGTTCTCACCCTGCTCTCTCGCCTCGGCACTTCATTAGCCCCACTAAGGGCTCCTCAGGTGTCTTCCATCCCAGAGGGAGCCACCAGTCCTTCATGGAGCCACAACAACCACCATCCTCACACCCTCTTCCCGCCATGGCGCCCGGGGAGCGTTCCTGAGGGACACGTGCGCGCGCCGCAGGGGACGTGCGCGCGCCGGCGAAGCGTGCCCGGGACGCAAGGACGAACGTGCACACGCAAGGGAGCACGCGCCTGCGCACACCCGCGAGCGCAGGCCGCCCTGACTTTGGCGACTGGGTCCGCTGAGGAGTCGTCTCCCTTGCTCGCACCTTCTGGGTCAGCAGACGGGACTGGCGCAGTCGCTCCTCGGAGCTTATGGCCCGCAGACGCTGCTTCAGCTCGGCCCGCAGGCTCCGCTTGGCGCCGCTCACAGCCGCCGCCGCCGCCATCACGCCCCGTCCCGCCTTGGGCGCGCGCCGCGGACCCTGGCCGCTCTCGGGGAGGGTCGCCACGCCCCCGGCCCGCCCCCCGGCCCCGTGGCGACCCCGCCCTCCCGTCCTCACGGCAGCTAATGGCGCCCCGGCCCTTTCCTGGCCAGCAGGGTCTCCCGCCTCGCACTGCTGGGCCAGCGACATGGAGCCTGCCCCGCGCCAGTGTGTTAACTACGCGACTAAGCTACCAGCAACGCAGCCGGCCACGCTTCCGGGTCCCTCGCAGGCCTTCGGGGGTGCAGTCCTGGGACACTGGGTGCTTTAAAGATGTACAGTATGGTGGAAAAGAGGGCCCTTACTAGTTCAAGGGCAAAAGACTCCCTGCCACCCACGTTCCTCTCCTTCTTCGTGAGTGACTCGTCTTCGTGAGTGACTCGCCCACGTGGTCAGGAGGTCGCTCCCCCCCGGAGAACTTAAGACCTGCAGTCAGTTACCCTGTTCCTTACAGTTCTGCCATCTTATCCTGACGGTTTCACTTGCAACTGGATAAAAACATGGTGACAGCAGGTAAGGTCTGCGTTCGCTTTACCCCACATCTCCAGCCAGCAATCCAATGAAAATCTGAGGTAATTTTTCCGTGGATAAAGGTATTAAGCATTTAAGCAATTACAGACTAGAATATGGAAATGTAAACAAGTTGAAGAAATACACAAATGAGTCCCTTGGCATAGAACGGAAGCACAAAAACAGATCCAAAGCCATATAGAAGTGTAATATATGCTGAAGATAGCAATTCAGATCACTGGGACAAGTACAGACTTTTTAATAAATGATGCTGGAGCAACTGGACAGCAATTAAAATATATGTATAAATCTGAGCCTCACACCATGCATTAAAAAAAACTTCAAATGCATTATGATTTCTTTTTCATTATGATGTAGAGAAAAGTTTTCTCATTATGAATTAAAATCCACCAAATGCAAATTTGGTGGTATTAAAACAATACATAAAGACCACTGAGATTCTGAGCATAATCTACCATAAACAATGGGGTAATTTCTCTGATATAAATGCCCTAGCCCTTAGTCCACTGTGGTCTGCTATAATAGTAACCTGAGACTGGGTAGTTTATAAGGAACAGAAATGGGTTGGCTCCTGGATGTGGGAGCCGGGAAGTCCCAAGATGGAGGGGCTGGCATATGGCAAAGGCCTTTCAGAAAGAACTCACTCCCCAGTGCCAGTATTAACTCATGACTAAGGACAGACTCTGATAGCCTGCTTATCTCCTAAAGGTCTCACTTTGTAAAACAGAAAATAATGGTTACAGTTCAGTTGAGTATTGCAGGGCATGAGCCTTCAAACCGCAGCAGCAAAGAACTCAGAAAGCTGAAATACAAGATTATTAGGAAAAAGAAATCCCAAAAGCCTTCAGATTGAGGGGAAGAGAAGTAGTGGAACAGCCTCTGTTCATGAAGGACACCATCGTGTATCTACAAAAACCCCGAGGAATCCACACAGACACACAAAGGAAAGCAGCATTACTAGCAGGAAATTTGACAAAACTTCAGGACTCCACATCCGTAAGCAAATGCATCTCTTCTTGCTTAGTGTTCTTCCAAGTGGAGCACCAACCGTTCCTGGTCCCAAAGTACCCAGCTTTCATGCTTACACAGGGGCAGTGTCTAGACAGATGTTGTTCGCCTATGTAATCATAGGAGACAACAGCTTGTTATACACAAGTGAACAAATAAGTCACCTGCAACAGCATCAAAATATATAGGAAATGTTCATCAAAGGAATGTTACACTTAGATCCTGAACATAACTTGACACTGTTGAAAGACAAGAGAGGAAATCTGTATAAAGGAAAGTGCATCCCCATATTCATGGGCTTGAAAACTTGACCTCGCTAAGGTGGCAGTACCAACCAGGTGAAGGTACAGAGCCAACACCCACCTAAACAGATCTAGTTTATTGCAGAAACTAATACTCTGATCCTGAATTTCATATAAAAGTGCAAGGATCCCTCCTACCCCAGCTGTAAGCACCTGACTAGGTAGCATTGTACCTAGGCAAGTGTTGCTCTGCTGGGAAAAAGCAGCTAATAGCTGGCAGGCATCCTGGGCCTGGTTAATACCAAATATGCATTTACTCTACCAGTGTGCCAGCACAGATGCCTGTATTATTTTTTATAGATATAAAGGGGGCAAATGCCTGCATGCCAGCGAATAGGAACTGGAGACAGGAGCAGGGCAAACATGGTCCCTGGGTGAGTCAGACAGAGCCCCGAACTGGCATGACACATCACCAGAAGATCGGGCCTGGGGATCTGAGCACTAGCAGACATGCAGGACTGTGGGTTGTTCAGGGAAGTGGGGCTGGAGATGTGTGGGAATGTAGAAGGACTTTCAGAATCTTTGCTATTGTGGGAGACAGAACCAGTTGAATCTCCTCTGAAAAGCCCCTGAACAGTTGATAAGGAGATGAATGAACAGGAACCCTCCTGATTCACAGGTTTAGATAAAGGACCTGCTAGAGGAACAAGTTGTATATTGGGGGACTGTCTTGCTGTTGAAATGTAAATGGCTCAAGCCCCCTCCCTGGATGCCTACCCCACAACCTTTTAAAAGTCTGATGCTGCAGGGTCTTGCCTTGATCACACTGGGTTCTAATCCCAGCAGCCTTGCTTCCCACCCAGCTGCTTAGAAAGCAGTGAAAGATGGCCCAAAGCCTTGGGACCCTGCACCCGTGTGGGAGACCTGGAGGAAGTTCCTGTCTCCTGGCTTCGGATCTGTGCAGCACCAGCCTTTGTGGTCACTTGGGGAGTGAGTCATTGGACAGAAGATTTTCTCTGTCTCTCTTCCTCCTCTCTGTATGTCAACTTTGCAATAAAAATAAATAAATCTTTAAAAGTTAGATGCTGTTAATAAACTTTGGCTACTGACCACCAGTCGGTAGTCCACACATGTTGTTATTGTTGTTATCGGTTCTGTGCACCAACTCCATCACTTCGGGACAGCAAATATGTGGGAGGGAGGGCTGCTGAGGGGGAATGTGACAGATGAGGAATGACTTCCAGGAGACTACCACCAACTAGAGTACTATATTTGCATGTAAATGAGGGGACTGAGACCAGGTACTTTAGAGGAGGGAAACCAGAGGACCTTTCAAGGGAAAACCAGTACACCTGCCCACATGGGAGACTTGAGCTGGGCTGGTTGGTATCAACCACCACGTGCTGACGCACAGGAAAGCCATGGCTGGGTCCTGCCTGGCAGGGCTCGACCACAATACCCGCCAATGAGTGTCAGGCGGGGTGTGGGTGATGTTAATTCTGGGCCATGACATGTCAGCTCATGAGACAACTGGGTCTGGGAGCAGGTTCTGTGGGAGTTCCTGTGGAACTGCCATATCAACTGGTTACCTGGGCTCGGGATAATGATGGTCTGAGCTAGGCATGAGCATGGAAATGACCAATACTCATGGGTACTGGGATTGGGAACAGGCTGGTCTGGTCTAAGCTGTAGCATCCACAGGCACACCAAGAATTGGGTTTGGGGTGGGTAGGAGCTCAACATCCACCAGCACACACAGGCTGACACTGGGGGGTGGGGGTACAGACTGCTGGTTAAGGACATACCACCCACTGGCATGTGTGAGATCTGAGTCTGGGAGTGGGCCTGATGAAAGAACTTGGGAAACTCCCCTAAAGGGTCATAGCTCCCACTGATGAGCAAGCGAGTCAGGGCTGGATATTGGGCTGTGCAGGAGTGTTTCACTTGTTCGCTGATATGTGGGTTGGCTCTGGGGGGTGTGTATTGAGCAAGGCTGGGCCAAACCATAGCACATTAGCATGACAGGAGCCAGGATGGGGTGTGGGCCAAGCTGGGCTAGGCTAGGCTATTATACCTACTCGTTTGCATGAAAGCCGGGGATGGAGGCAGGGTGGGCAGTGCCAGGCAAGAATCAAGGCTGGGAACAACCCATACCAGGCCAGGTTACAGTACCTGCCAGCATATATGTGGTTCAGATTATATCATTCTAAACACCCACTGGCAGATGTGAGAATTGAGATGGGGTGCAGGACAGGCCAATTAGGCCACAACATCAGCCAGTTCACATTAGTGCCAGGATTGGGGGCAGTTCAGGCTGGGCTAGGCTACAGCACCCACCAGCATGAGCTGGAACTGGAAGACCAGGCTGAAACTGGTTGTAACACATGCTGGTGAAGGCTAAGATGAGGTGAGCCATGCCAGACTCGGCTGAAGCACCCACAAGCACACATAAGACCTGGGGCAGGGGGCAAGTCCAGTATGGGAACTACATGGGCTCCCTGCTGGGCCACTGCTCCTGCTAATAAGCATGAGAGCTGGGACTAAGGACAAACCAAGCTGGGCAGGGCTACAAAATCTGCTGACCTGCATGTAAATTGGGTTAGGGGAGAGCCACACTGGGCTAAGCAACCATATCCACTGGTGCATGCGTGAACCAGAGTAAGTGCAGTATGGTTGGGCTTTGCTACAACATCGGCTAGCAAATATGTCAGACTAGAATATAGAACCACTAGGAAAGTACAACTTTAGGGCCCAAAATGGACCTAGGAGGGAGATTGTGGGCACCCCTCTGATTGGTCTGCAACTCCCACTGGTGAGCATGAGAAAAGGGCTGGGGGCAGGCCTGGCTGGACAGTCAGCGACACTCGCTGGCATGAGTTTGGACTGGACAGTGGGGCTGAGCTAGGCTGCAACACCCATTGATGTATACAAAAGCCAAATGGGATGAGGGACAGACTGGACCAGTCTGTTGTAATTACTGACAAGCACAGGAACAAGGTCTGGGGGTGGGTCTGGCAGGGATTATTGGGGTTGCTCTGATTAGGCT